GCAGCCCACCTGACGATTTTCTCAGTTTTTTTTTTTTTGCTGTGATAGATGATGTAACTTAAATTTTCATTTATTCTAATTTCAACACGACTTTCAAACCTGCCGGCAGGTTATTGAGGTTCAGACGATCAAAGACATCACGTCAAATCTAATGTTTAAAATCTAAATTTGAATACGCTACAGCGAAGCAAGTTCAAAGAACACATAATTACCTTTTCATTTACATTGAGCTGATGCTTAATGCTGATTTTTAGTGACCTTTTGACTGCACAAGCGAGATACCACCTCTGCCCTTCTCAGTGTAACTAGCTTCCTTTTTCAGTGGTTTAATTGGGGTTTCATATAGCTCACGCTTGCCTCGGAAATGTAGTTATTTTCCTAGCAGAAGGAAGCCTCTTTATTAACATATGACACATTGCCTTCACGAGAATTTTTACAAGTGAGAATATATAATGGCAGGAATGAGCAGCAAATACAACTCAATGACTCCGCAGGCTTTTGAGAATCCTTAGCCGGGGAGTCAAAAGGCCCAGATCAAAGGATGGAAGCGAAAAGAAAATGCAACAAGAGAATTTTGAAGTTAGATTCGTTGTGGCAGCTTCCACTCAGAAATAGAGAGATAAAGGAACTAAACTGCTCAAGGACAGACCTGTGGCTTTTCATTTACTTGAGTCGATTGTTGATGAACCCGTTAAACTCTTATTAAGCTTCTAGTCCTCAAGACTTCCAAAATACCCCTGTCTTGTGTGCGAGCTGTACATAAAGGCGTCTGCTTCACGCCTGAATGAACATCCTGCTCACTTCTCCGTAAACGTCGTGACAGAAATCTCGCTACGTCGGATGTAATAACATTTCTGTATCGCTTTCGACGCTCTGAATTGCGTGCAGTCACATTAACATATTGGCAATCATACGGTAAACGCAATTAGAGTTGTGTGAAGCGATTCGAGAAAGACTTTTTTTCCCCACATTTCAGCACCAATATTGGTCAAAAAAATATGACAGAGAGAAAACGCTGTGTGCCAAAATCAGAAAATGTTTTTTCTCAGTCACGTTGCTTGACTTTTTAATACATTAAATTATAAAACTGATCATAAAAATAACACAAGATGGAAAAGGAAAAGATTGATTAGACTTAAAAGTTGTGGAGAAAAGTTGTTGCTTCCAGCTGTTTGTAGGAAGCAGCAGGATCCATTTAAGCGTCTCCGAAGACAGGAAGTTGAGCACATTTACACCAAACGGCAGTAATTATTATTATCATGTATCCCTGACGTGGAGACAGGATTGATCTAACAGCAGAGGTCATGCTGTGTAGTTTTCTTCACCTCAAACCAGCGAGTTCCATCAGCTGCAGGTGTTTTTAACAGAGCGGCTGCCCTCTGGTTGAGTCCTGAGCTCCATTACAGCTGTTGGAATACTTGGTAAAGTAGCAGTTACATGATCATCAAACAGAGCAGAACATTTTCAGTGTTTGGGAAATCACAAACAAACTGGGCAATTAGTTATTCAGACAGTTTCATAAGCCTGCCATTAGTTTAGTTTTAGTCTTTTGTTGTTCGCTGCATTATTACGCTGTCATCTCACCGCTGACAAGTCTGTGCGTCAACCATTATGTAAACTTCCTCAAATCGATTCATATCATGGCGGCTGACAGCTGTCCGTTCCCGGCTATCAATCAGGTAAACTTGAACAGAAGGGGCGTCGCGTGCGAGAGTCGGCGAGACAAAAGCGTGATACGGCAGCCGATTCTCTGAAACCCCGGCAGACTATACATCAAAGTAAAGCTTAGCTGTGTTTTAATTTGCTCCGAAAGAAAGAAAAGGAAAAAAAAAAAGAACAGTTGAAATATTGAAATGTCTGAAGTTTTTACTTTGTATTTCAGTTAATATTCATGAGTTGGAATGTGTCCGCTAAAGGTGTCTGTGAATTTTCACTCGGCGTCCACTAGCACCCTATCAAGTATTTCATGAAATTTAAATATACTGCACCTCCGGTCTTTGAGTCCAGATAGAGGGACGGATAATTTTGTTAGCTGAACCGATACAGATGGAGATGGTGATGTCTCCATACGCCTGTACTGTCCTGAGTGTTCTCGCAGCTGTGATTACCTGGCCGAGTGTTACCATCGAACACCTGCACTCAAACCTCCAGGGGCTCAAGAGACACGTGCCCTATAGGTGGAGTTGCTGATAACATATGGGAGAAATAATGAATGTTGAAGATGAAGGAAGAGACCCAGTCATTTGCATTTCTGCTTTGCTGTGCCATCCTGCATCATGCAGATTAGGATTACTGGAGTCATATACATATGCAGCTAACTCATGTTGTGCACAGGGTCAGAACTTTACTTTGGGGCTCTACTAGAATATGTTTATCTGCTTTAATATTCAAAAAACACGTTTCACATACTGTACATCGCTGCAGCACCTTTTTTCCCACCTCCGTCTGAAAGTCTCTTCTCCCGAAAAGCCCAGTCTGCTGTGATTGGTCAGCTTGTTGTACATGTACTGTAACCGCAGAGACTTACAGAAGTGGCTCCAGTGAGGAAATAAAGGCAGACTGTGAAGGTGTTCTAAACTATCTGCTAGACAGGCGTTACGCAGATGTGCTACACGGTGATGCAAATAAGTAACGGAAGAAAAGGCTGCATATCAAACATGACATTTCAGGCAGGTAGGGAGCGGTGTTTTATGAGCGATAGAATAATACCCTCTGGTGTTGACTTTGGGCTTTTACATGCACAGAAATGCTATAACACACATATTTTTGGGAAAAAACCCAAAAGCTGATTATGGCCTCTTTAAAACAGTGCTGAGCTGCTCCAGGCAGAGCCGGGGCTGCAGGCTTGTTGCCCTCGGTACGTCCATATAACTGGGACACAAGGGAACGCTTCACACTTCTACATTATATAGTTGGAACTGGAGGTTTGCCCGAACTGTAACAAGCCTTTTGCTATTTTCCCTCTGACCGCTCGCTGGTGTGTCGCTTGTTCTTTCTTGTTTCACCGACCAGCTGCGTCACTTGTGGTTGCCTTTACTCCAGTTGCTAAGAAATGAAAAATGCTCGTGTTCATTGCTTGCTGATTATATATCCTCTTTGTGCTGGAAATGTTTCACACTGGCAGAGAACAGCTCACAGAGATGCTGTATGTATTTATGCTGCTATTACTTACACAAACCGAGGTGCTTTCTCAGAGAAGCCTGTCGTTACATTTACATCAAACATGCATTTACAGTGAAACTCTGGCAGAGCCGAGCTAATGCAAAATGCAAAAGTGTAGCGCTTCTGCTGCGAGAATGACGGGTCGACTGCTGTTCTGACATCATAAGGCAATGGATGGTATGCTAACTATGAACTTCCCATCTGCTCCTCGTAGCTCTGCCCTGCAACAGCCCACAGCATACCGGCCTCGTCTGCTGCTGGCCGGGGCCCCAGGCTCAGGACAGAGCTCCCACTTGGCCCCTGCCTTGCTGCACCACCTGGACAAGCTACCAGTGCACCGCCTGGACTTGCCCATTCTCTACTCCGTCAGCGCCAAGACGCCGGAGGAGTCCTGCGCTCAGGTAACCCCCCGCACAGACCCGTGTGTTGGAATTCGACAACTCAGAGACTTTTAGAACTTTTTAAATGTAATCAACGGTGTGTGCTTGACCGCTGTGGTTGCAGGTTTTCCGTGAGGCCCGTCGGAGCATGCCCAGCGTGGTGTACATGCCACATATCTCAGAGTGGTGGGACACAGTGAGCGACACTGTGAAGAGCACCTTCCTCACCCTGCTGCAGGACGTGCCCTCCTTCAGCCCTGTCCTTATCCTCGCCACTGCTGAGACTCACTACTCAAAGCTGTCAGACGAGGTAGGACCACGGTGCATATACAAACACTCACAGGAGCTGACATTTTCAGATTTACCTGGAGCCCTGCCACATGTTCTTTTGGGATTGCATATTGCTGCTGGTGCAATTGCTTCCTTTATGTGAGAGAGGAGCGTGGTATTGGAGGCTAAAGCTTGATTCAGAGGTCTCTTTTTTTATTTCTTTCTTATGCCAGAAATGCGAGTGCAGACAGAGTCAAGGTCATCTGCTCCCACAGAGTTTTTATCTACTTTGGCTCCATCACCCTTTCTTGTCATTTATCCCACTGCCCACTTTTCTCCCTGGGTATGCCTGCCCCTGCTCCTTCATCCTTCCTCTTGGATTTATTATTTTCTGTCTGAAAGCCAAAGCTAGAGTCAGACCACCTGTTGTGGGTTAGGCTGCAAGGGATTGATTGGGTTAGAGGAAGAGGAAAGAGAAAGACCAGAGGAAGGGGGAGAAAAAAGACACAGAAAAATAAGGAGGTGGGTTCTTTCTAGTCAGGCAACAGAAGGGCTTTAATTAGGTCTGGGGGTTGGCAGCCCCTAGTCCTCACCCCAGGCCACGCACTCCACATCAACATGCCTGAGCTGCCTGTTGGTTCTTATCTGTTCTTGTCTCTGTGCATGTGTGTGGCTGCTGTTTTGGCAAGGCCTTAACCCTGGCCGTGCTCCAAGGCGAGAGAGGCTCTTGGGATGATTCTCTCTCTGTAGTTTACTCATTAGGACCGAGGCACCTGGACTGCAGCACCCACCGAGGTCTAAGCTCTTTATTAAAGCCTCCAAGTTCTAGTTTGCACTTTTCTGGCATCTAAAAACACCTGCATGGAGGTGTTTACTAAGTGAAAACGTGATTATAACCGGAGACTAATCTTCTAATTCCTCTTCCGATCGTTTTTAACTTGTCTTTCCGTCTTTGTTTCTCTTTATTCTTCGGTATCTTTATTTTGTGTGCTTGAAAGTTTCCCGCAGGTTTCTGCATTGCATTAAGGTTTTTTTTCCATTTCACTTAACTCCATCGTGTTGATTCGCGTGCTGTGTTAAGAGAATAAGTATGAAAATGGAAGTGTTGCACAGACCATTCAGTCTCAGTGTCACATGTCAGATTGCTGTTCATTACCATACCAGGTGACTGGCAGAAACCGCGCAAGATCGGCAATTACCGCTTCCTTCGGATTAACTTTTCTTTGGTCATTGAACACATAGGCATTTAGCCAGGAAAATTGGGAAGCTCGTGATGGAATAAATAGCATGATCGAGTCAACATGGAGCCAGCATGAAGCTATCAAGACTGTCCTGAGGCGACGCTGGCTTTCTCCTGCGTGTTTTTCTCCATTTTAGTGTCTCGTGCTGCTACTTTATGGCGGGATTGCATCATTGCACTTGTTAATCAGTTCCTTATTATTACATCGGTGAGGCCATTTCTTCACTCATTTTAAAGCTGTATTAAAAAGCAAATCATCATGCTTGTACCACACACGCTGTGCCTCCGGCTGCACCGTTCCCACGGCGGGAATTAACATTTCGGAGATGGCTAATGAATATGTCGGATGATAAATTGTTTGACGGAAAAATTGATTTTGTTGCGGATCTCTTGTTGCTCCACGTGTTGACCACTGACATTTTTGCAGGCTTTGTTGTCAGAAAGGATCGGGCTGTTGGTTGAATATATCAGCTATTTGGGAGTTGTTTATTTTGTCATTTTATTTTGCCAGTTTATTAGAATTTAACTGAGCTGCAACAATTAGTCGGTTAATTGATTACGTTGTCAACTATGAAAATAACAATCACCTATTTTAATGTTTAATTACTTAGTTTGAGCAATTTTTTTTAGAAAATAAGTCTGATTACAGACTCTTAGATGTGAGTATTTTCTGGTTTCTTTTCTCCTCTTTGACAGTAAACTTAATATCTTTGCATTGTGGACAAAACGAGACACTTCAGGACGTCATCAACAGGTTAATCGACAATGAAGATGATCATTAATTGGAGCATCGGTCTGTAAATAAATTACATTTAAGCCGTCTTTTGTGGTTGGAGTCCAAACGATAAGTACTTGGAAAGCAACGTTAATTTAAAAGTCACGTTCGAGAACTGGATCCGAGCGTTTAATAGCATATGCCATCCCCAGCTGTTTGTTCATTTAGAGGTTGCGAGCGGAGGTGTCCTTCACGTGACGACGTCGGACTCTGTTTCTCACGGTGTCGGACAGCTGTTCAGCCCGTCCTTACTGTGTGCTGCTTATCAAAGATCTCAAGGTGATCTACCGGTCATGTTAGAAACTTTTGCCACAACTATGCACTTGCAAAGACGTACTTGCTGGTTTTGTCTTGTTTAAAATAATCCCAAAAGCTCCCTGCGTGTTGCGCACCTTTACGAATGTATCCGCTGGTTGTTAGACGGATGGCGGTTGGTTAGAAATCTACTATATTTCCCAACTGTGTTCCAAACCGTACCCAGCTTAATGGATTGGTTATTTCCTAAACGAACAGAGAATTGATTTCTTTACATTATGTTGAACGTAGTTACATTTCACTAAGTCATGCTTCAGTCTCATGTTCCTGTTATGTATCCTATGAATAAATGCATGCACTGGCCTTTAATATATTTAAAATAAATCAATGCTTTCGGCTGTAGTATAACCATTTCCATAACTTATTTACCGTGATGGATTGCTCACGTCAGGCAGGTTTCAAGTTTCTGCTAGTTTTCATACTGTACCGACATAACCTTAAGCAGTGGCTGTCGATGAACTCATCAGAGTAAAGGTAAAAAAAAAAATCCAAAAGATAACCGCTGTTCTTGAGAAATTTGTCAACACAGAGACGTATAAACGCCACGACTGCTTCCAGTGATTTTCTGTGTGATGCAGGTGTAACTGCAGGCTCTCTTTGGAAGTCTACAATGGGAAAGTATCAAGGGGAGTTTACAGTATTCCAAAGAGAGAGTGATTTTTTTCAGGCTATTTACTGAAAGGCTGGAATATTGCCGACGCTGAGTGCATGCTTAGCAGTTTCCTCGCCCAACAATTGGATCTATTTGCTAGAATTGGTATGGTTTTTTTTGTTTTTTTAAAGGTGTGTACATGCTGCAGTATACGGTGCTTTAAGTGGTCTGGCTAGCTCGGAGAGTGTTGTTTCGCTTTCTGGCACGGAGAACACAGTGACAGCTGCTGTCTCAGCTCCAAACCTCAGCAGGGAACAGGCAGCATCCCTCCCCAGCCAAAACTGACAGTACAGGCTTGGGTCCAGCTACAGAGCGGCCCTCCCTCCCTTAACAGCTATTCACTCCGCTCTGATTGACTCCCTTTTTCTGTGGAGGACCGGTGGAAATTGCTTGAACATGTGATTGTAGAAGCGATATACCTGCAGTTAGAGGAGGAGATCGTCTCCCTTCGGTCATTATGTTTAGCGCCGGAACTCTTTTTGGGACGCGGGCGCCGGTAGCCGCATCCAACGTGTCCGCCGCTGTTTTTATTATCGTAGCAGGAACCAGGTTTGTGTCTTGTGAGGTGGGTGATAGTTTGTGCGACGTGTCCTCCAGCCCGGCTTGAGTGTTTGCAGCGACTCTGAATGGAAGCACGACTGAAGCTGGACTGAAAAGCCACAATCGCACTTTAAACGCAGATGAGTGCACTTTCAGACGCTCTTTCCTTCAAGACATTTGCGGCGTTGTGTCATTTGTAGACACAGAAAGCGATGCCTGGTGTTTCGTAGGATGAAAAACAGAGCTCAGGATAAAAAAAAACCTGCCACTGGCTCTACCTTGTACAACATACAGATCTCTTTAATGACTTCCATATTGGCTCTTTTTTTGCTTAATGCACCATTAGGGGTCCACCAATTTTCAGAGCCATTATTCAGCATTTTTCTATTTATCAGTAACATTTTTGTAAACCGATTTCTGATTAAAAAATTGAACTGATACATCATTTTGTCTCTTTGTGGCCTCGAGCGATCTACTTCACACGGCAGCATTTGACCGGTAACACGTTACAACATCATCAGTAAGAGTCTGTCAGCACTGAAGGATAAATGATGGAAAGTTGTCTTGTAATTGAACATATTGGAGAATTGCTGAAGCATATAACGATCACCAGGGCTCACACAAAGACGCAGACGTCCATGCACGCTTGCATTTTAGAATCACTGGTTAAGTTAGAATGCATTTGTTTGGATTGTGAAAGGAATCTAACGAAGAAAAAGGCAATTTAATGATGGTTTGATTTTGACATCATGATTTTCATTTTTACTGCAACTGTTGACGAGTTCGAGATATCTGTTATTAGCTCCCTTGTTAGCTAATCATCATTATCGACCACCATGTAATCATCATTCCTGACTGCATGTGAAATCTTCAGTTAGCATAAAATTCGTCTGCTGCTTTTCTCACTTCGGGCCACAGCGGCAGCGTAAGCCAGCGAGGCACCTCTCCAGTCACAACCTTTAGCTCTTTTTCAGGGATGTCGAGGCGCTTTCAGGCCGGATGGGACATGTAATCCCTTCCAGTACGTAATGGATCCCCTCTCAGTCATCCACGGGGATGCGACGTGGAGGCCCAAACTGCCTAAACCGACACCTCTCAAAACGTAGCTGCAGCGGTTTCTTCTCTGAGCTGCTCACTCCGGCTCCTAAGCTCATTTTGACCGCTTATAATACCCGCGATCTGTCAAAACCTAAAGCTCATGACCACAGCTGAGGGTTGGGACGTAGAAATGTGAGACCGGAGCTTCGCTTTCAGGCAACAGTAATATCAGCAGTCATAATCCATATCAGCGGCACTTTAGGGTCTATACTGCTGTCAAGACGTCTTAATTTGCCCTGTGGTTTGTTTATTTTCACTTCTTTGTGGTGGTTCAGGAAGGTTTCTTCTGCCCCTGTGTGAACTGCATGAAAAGTGATTCACTCCAGCAAACTAACTTTCCACCTGCCGTGGAGATTTTTGTTTTTTTTTCTCTTAAGAAAAGCGAGACAGAGATGTAGCAACAGGGTGGTATCGGGCTCTCTGACAGGCGTGTTTTTAGTTTTCTTTTTAAGTCCGTTCCTTCAGTTAAGAATTCATAATGCAGCGAGAGCAGGTATCCAGTTTTGTTTTACAGTTGCTCGAGCCAGGCACACATTCCCAGTTTTCTTTGTACATTCAGTTCTCTCCTCCCCTGCCCTCCCTCCTTCCCTCTTTTTTAACCATTCATCTATCAGCACATTTCTGCTCTCCCTCCCTCTGTGTCAACACCCCTGCAGCCTTTATCATGATGAAAATACCGCGAATCATTACCCGCTGTGCGCCGCGCACACTTTGACTGTCTCGGGCTCCCCTACCGTCTTCCTTGTTTTTTTTACTCCATTTCACCTTTTTTACCCTCGTCTGAGGGGAGAGCGCACAATGCAGGGGAGAGAGGCCAAGAAGGAGAACAGAAGGCAATGCAGTGAGAACAAACATGCCACGGCTAAGGGAGGCGATCGATGTGAATGGCAGATGGAGGGGGGGGATAAAAAGAGGAAAGTTGGTGCTTAGTCAGCAACAGTAGCGTTTTCTATCAGGAGCAGGCCTTGAGCTCCAACCGAGAACCAACCTGGGATGTGTGAAGCCCCCCATGTAAGCTCGAATACAGATGCAGGAACTATCTGACCCGTGCGTGCGAACGATGCATTGTTGTTTATCTGATAATTACCAAGACAAAAAAAAAAGTCAGCAGTGATTTAAAAAGCCGCTCCCCACCAGCGAGGTGCACAGTAAGTTTGATGAATGTTAGTTTAACCGCGGGTAGCTCCTTAGATATGTATGTATGCATTCCTTCCAGTGTAATATAATTGCAGGATGGATGCTTCGCCTTCTCGTTTGTTTGCAGACTTGTTGTCCTTCCCAGTTTTTTGTTTGGACTGTAAATTTGCCGGTAAATTAACATAGCTGCTCTGTAAAACATCCCACAGGACCCGAGTGGAATCGCCTCATCTTTTTTCATTATCTTAACTGGGCGTGCAAAGGTACGCACCTCGATTTTAAGGTCTTGTTTTTAACGCTACAGCGAAGAGAAGACAAAATAATAAAGTGCTCCTTTTTTAAAAAAACTTTTTTAGTACTTAACTTTTTAGGAATGTATTCGGTGACTATGGCGGTGTCATTTTTCAAAAAAAAAACTTGCTAATACTGAAACCTACTGATAAAAAAGTAAATTAAAATAAATGCTTGCTTAAATAATTAAAAAACAAATATCCAGAGAAGTGCCGCATTTACAAGTGGACTGAGTTCAAACTGCACTGTTCACATCAGCAGCTTTTAGCTTCACGTTACGACACCAAACAGAAATAGTTGGGGAGCTTTTTCCTTCTACGTTCAGGTGATTCGATCCCCAACAAGTGAGCAGCGAGTTTGATGTACAACCTGCTACGTACCTGATGGCAGCGAAACAATGCAGGCGTATAGCTTTGGTCGGATCCAGCTGCTTTTGTCCATTGTCACTGTAGTTTAAGTGTAGCCTGGTGCCGAGACTTTTCATTATTAACGAGCGTCTAGACATAACAATCAGGGCTCCAGACTAACTTTTTCCATTAGTAGCTCCCTGCTAATAACTTTAGGAGCACCAGAACTAAATTCAAAAGAATAAATTATTAAGTTAAATGGTGCTTTTTTTTTAAACACAGATGCCAAATAATACATTTACTGGGCTCTGGCAGGGAGGGTCTGTGTCCCTCTGTTCTGCAGTGATGCAACAGACAGATTCTCCTCCAGTACTTCCACTTAACATTTCCACACTGCTCACGTCTGTCCGTCGCCTAGCGTTAGCACAGCGCCTGGTTCCCTCTGTTGACGAGCAGCGGCGGATTCAGAAGATGGTTTCTTCGTTTTTAACCAAAATGAGGGCTGAGTTTAGTTTGTTTTCAGAGATTATTACAGTGATGTTTTCTTCGTAGCGTTAGATGGAGTGCTGCGATTAATCCTGGAACGTTCCCTCTGACGTGAAAGATATCTAAATGACGGGAACGTTTGTATTACATCCGCATTCGTTAGGTTTCCTTTTTATAAATTTGAGGTTCGTCTCAGCTGTTTCTTATCCTATTCTCTTCAAGTCTAGTTTATAAATCCGCTTGTTTAAAGAATAACATTACAGATCAATGCAGGATGTTACAGAGCGTGTGTGTGCACAGAAGTTCAGCTGCTTCTGAACAAGAAATATAGAATAAACAACTGGAGGCATATTTACAAGTGATCCGAGTTATAAAATTTAGTGTCTCCAGAAAGGTTCGCTGTCTGGAGCTCTTCACAATATATTGTGTGTGTTTTTTTTCCTTTACACTACAGGTGAGAAGTATATTCCAGAGGACCTATGGGGAGGTGGTAACGCTGTGCCCTCCAGGAGAAGAGGAAAAGAGGAACTTCTTCTCTAACCTGCTGCTGGTTCAAGCAGCCAGATCTCCTCCACGCCTCAGGAACACAGGTATTCGCTCTATCCACATGCAGGACGAGGCAGTTATGACTCATCTCTGCTGTCAGTCCTAGAGGGCAGTGTTGGCTGCACGCTTCCTTCCTCGCTCTGTTGTCAGTGTTTCCCACAGTCGTGTTTGGATCCAGCGTGAGGGAAGAGCAGCAGATGTTATTTCGCTGGCAGAGGCTCTCCTGTGCTATGAGTATCTAATTCATATTCGGTGATGAGGGTTTAATATTTGACATGTTCGGAATTGGTTTAATTTCGCCTCAGATGGAGCTACAAAAAAGTACAGATGTAAGATAATTAGGGTGGTGCACACTCAAGTGTAAGATTGACCCACCTTTCTATCTACCCCCTGCCTTCGCCCCAGCGCTCAGTGTTCCCAAAGCTCTCGGTTCCAGCTCAATAAGAGAGAACTGTCCACCCGGGCTTTTAAATGGAAATGGTGCCCCGCGTTCCTCCGTCGATTCCTCATTGATGTAAGGCAGGGGTCCCCCGCTCCACTCGCGCTGCGCTCTTCAGGGGCTCCTCCTTTACCAAGACAGCAGTCCCGACTTCCTGCAGCGAGGCCGGCGCACAAGCATGGAGGGGAATTGCTATGAGAGGGCCCGGCCGCGATTAACCGTAATTAGAATCAGGGTTTGGATTGCTGCTCGTGAGTCGAGTACCCTTAGGTGCTGGGGAGTAACGATGTCGGCAGATGCCTTGGGCGAAGCGCTGGTGCCGTGGGAGAGGAGGAGAGGGTGTCTGCTCGCCTCGCTTCTTCACCCCGCTGCTGGCCAGAGGCTATTCCTCAGTGCATTTCAAAACCCGTGTTTGCGAAGGAGTGTAGCTGCAGTTTTTGTCTTCAGCCGAAATCATCTCAAAAGCTTGATTTTTTTTTTTTTTTCTTTCTTTCCTCGGGTAAGATTTTTTTTTTCTCTTTGGAGTGGTGTTAAAAGGAAATGGGGAAGAATAAGGTTTGAGATCGGACTGTGCGTCTGGGTTCTCACTTGCAGCCAATACGCTGGCCGTGTGTGTGTGTATATATTTCTTTATTTTTTTTTACGTCTCTGTGCTGGCGGCAGCTTTGGCCAGAGGCGTTATGTTCTCAGGTTGTCCGTCCGTCAGTCTGGCCCATTCTCATGAAATTGATATCTCAGGAGGGCCTCGGGGCGGTTTCTTCAAATTTGGTGCAAACGTTCACTTAGACTGGAAGATGAACTCATTAGATTTTGGCGGACAGTCAGTCTATCAATCACTCACTGGGGCTGGATGTGGTTTGTGTTTCAACAATTTCAATTCTCAGAGCGTGGCGGTCAAGGTCGTGCATGAGTAATAATATTCTAATGATGTAGTGCACTATACAGCAGGAGAAGAGTCAAGGGTACTTTCACTTTTAATAACACAGAACACATTCCTGATTACACCTGCACACTTGAAGTGACCTCTTCAATGCAGAACTTTTGCAGTGCGGTATTTAGTAAAGGATCTGAGCGCTTCATCCGCTGCTAAACAAACACTTACTACAGCATCCTGTTGCGTTCTTCACCTGTGGAACGCTGCTGATCACGGACGAACGTCAGCAGCAGAAACGCAGAGCTAGTTAAAAAAAAAGTAACTGTTGGCTGACTTTTCTCATTTAGAGTTTCCTGTTTACTTCAGCCACTTTACTGTAACAATACTGGAGCCCCGTCCCGTCCTTGTGGGAAAAA